ATGAAATTGATTTTGATAAAGAAAATCCTAATAGTGCTGATAAAGTCTATAGAGAATATGCTATTCAAAAAAATTACAAACCATTAAATATAGATGAAAATCAATATGAAAAATTAAAAATTCCAATATGTAATGAACAATTATCTTCATTAGTTGTAAAAAGTACATTAAATGCAATAAATTATTATTCATCATTACAAGTCGAAGATGGTCATTGGCCTGGGGATTATGGTGGTCCGTTGTTTTTATTACCCGGTGCAGTAATAACAGCTTATATAACGAAATTTGATTTTACAGAAGAACAAAAATATCAAATGATTAAATATTTATTTAATCATCAATTAAGTGATGGTGGATGGGGAACTCATATTGAAAATAAATCAACTATGTTTGGAACTGTTTTAAATTATATATCATTAAGATTATTAGGAATTCAATTTAATGATCAAAGAATACAAAATGCTTATGATTTTATTCAACGAGAAGGTGGTGCGATGTATGCACCAAGTTGGGCAAAATTTTGGTTATGTGTATTAGGTGTTATGCCATGGGAAGGTGTTAATTCATTATTTCCAGAATTATGGTTATTACCTGAATGTTTACCTGTTCATCCTTCTCGATATTGGTGTCATTGTAGAATGGTTTATTTACCAATGAGTTATGTTTACGCTAAAAAAATTGTTGGAGAAATATCTCCACTTATTAAACAATTAAGAAATGAATTATATGTTGACAAATATGAAAATATTAATTTTAGCAAACATCGAAATTCAATTAGTTCATTAGATTTATATAGTCCTCAAACAAGTTTATTAAAAATTTTAAATTTTTTGACAAATACTTATGAACATATATATAATCGTAAATTACGTAATAAAGCAAGTGAATTTCTACTAAGTTATATTGAAGCAGAAGATGAACATACAAATTATATTGATATTGGTCCTGTTAATAAATTTATAAATATGTTATCAGTATGGTATTCAAAAGGACGTCAAAGTAAACAATTTGAATTACATTTAAATCGTGTCAATGATTATTTATGGTTAAGTGAAGATGGAATGAAAATTCAAGGTTATAATGGTTCACAATTATGGGATACTGCTTTTTCAATTCAAGCTATTTTAGAAACAGGATTAACAGATTTATATAAAAATTGTCTTTATTCATCTTATTCTTATTTGGATATAAGTCAAGTTTTAGAAGATGTTAGAGATAATGTTAAATATTATCGTCATATATCAAAAGGTGGATGGCCATTTTCAACTAGAGATCATGGTTGGCCAATAACAGATTGTACTGCTGAAGGAGTTAAAACAACATTATTAGTACATGAACAATTATTTAATTGTCCTCGTACAATAACATATGATCGTTTAGAATATGCTATTAATTTTATTCTTAGTACACAAAATAAAGATGGTGGATGGGCATCATATGAACTTAAACGTTCAGATTCTTGGATAGAATGGTTAAATCCTGCTGAAGTATTCAAAGGTATTATGATTGATTATTCATATGTTGAATGTACTTCTGCTTGTATACAAGCATTATCAAAATTTCGTTCAAAAATTCATTTTCCTAATCATAGACGAGAAGAAATTAATGTTGCAATTGATCGTGGAATTGAATTTATTAAAAAAAGTCAAAGATCCGATGGAAGTTGGTATGGAAGTTGGGCTGTATGTTTTACATATGGAACATGGTTTGGTATTGAAGGTTTAATTAGTGGTGGAGAATCAATTGAATCAAATGAAATAAAAAAAGCTGTAGAATTTTTAGTATCAAAACAAAATTTTGATGGAGGTTGGGGAGAATCTTATTTAAGTTGTGTTTATAAATCATATATTAATCATAAACAATCTCAAGTTGTTAATACAGCTTGGGCACTTTTATCGTTAATGTCTGCAAAAGCAGATCAAATTGTTATTCGAAAAGGAATTCAATTTCTTATTAATAAACAATCTTCAAATGGAGATTGGAATCAACAAGGAATTACGGGAGTTTTTAATGGAAATTGTATGATTAGTTATACAAATTATAGAAATATTTTTCCTATTTGGGCTCTTGGACGATTTATTAAAAATAATTATATACGACAATAAACGTTTTTTTTTTGTTTTTCATTTCTTATGGATTTAACTGTATGAATTTGCGTTTTTCTTTTAAATAAACCGAGAATATTTTAATATTTAAATATAATTGTTAAGATAAATGACGCAAGTAGAACATATCATTATCGTATGATCTTAAATATGAAAGAAAACGCCCAATAGATATACGAGAAAAGTATATCATCAGATATTAAGAAGATTATTTTATCTTTTCAGGAAAGAGAAATAAAATGTTCTATAAAAGAAGATTATACATAGAAATATTCATTGAAATATTACTCAGAAAAAAATAATAAAATACTTTTGTAGTAATAATGTACTGGATTTTATTCTTGATTATATTTATAATAATATTGTATATTATTCATAAAAACCGAATAAAATTATCAAACAATGATTCAGATATGAAATATGATCATGCAATAATTATGGGTGGAAGTATTGCTGGTATGACAACAGCTGCTTATTTATCAAAATATTTTAAACGCATAACAATAATAGAAAATGATGATGTTTTAAATGAAATATTAATGAAATCAAAAGATAAAGAATTATTAGATTATCGTTGTAATTTAAAATGTTCAAGTTCATTAGGTCGTTCAGGTGTTACACAAAGTTATCAAATACATGTTTTACAAGGTGAAGGAAGTAATATTTTATTTAAATTATTTCCAAATTTAAAAAATAAATTATTAAATGAATATGGTGCTCGATTATGTTCATTAAAAAATGATTTTAGATTTGTTATTGGTGATGTTTTATTAAATAAATATTTAACTGAAGATCTTTATTGGTTTTGTATTGATCGTTTTACATTAGAAACGGTTTTAAGAAGAGAATTATGTTCACAATATGATCAACAACAAATTAAATGGATATCTAATACGAAAGTAACACAATTAATTGTTAATCAATCAAATAATTCTGTTCTTGGTGTTAAATGTCGATCAAAATTAAATTCAGATTCACAAATGGATTTTTATGCTGATTTTATAGTTGATTGTACTGGAAGATATTCTTCATCTACAAAATGGTTAAAACAATATTTTAATTTAATTATTCCAACAGAACAATTACATATTGGAACTGGTTATGTTTCATTTGTTGGTGAAAGATTAAAGACAGGAAATTCAACATTAGACTCAATACATGTTGGTGGAAATGCAGCTCATGCACCAAATCATAATAAAGGTTTTCTTACAACACCTATTCGACAAATAAAAAGTTCTGATCCAAATTCGTTAGGATTAATATCAAATTTTGCTGTTTATTGTGTAAATTCTGAATATCCTCCAAATGATTCATATGAAAATCTTTTAGAATGGATAAAAGAACATCTTCCGATTGATTATTATTTAATATTAAAATCAACAAAACTTTTAAGTCCATTACTTCCATATCGACGTGCTTTTGATGATCGAAAACATGTTGAATTATTAGGTCGAAAATGGCCTCGAAATTATGTTTTAGTAGGAGATTCAATGTGTGTATTTAATCCAAAAAATGGTCAAGGAATGACTCATGCATGTAGACAAGCACAACAATTAAATGAAGTATTTAAAGAAAAATATCAATTAAAAGATATTTCATTTATTTATAATCGTCGAGCTGCATCAATAAGTGAAGAATGTTGGCTTGGTTCAACAACAAATGATTGGGCTGTACCAACATTAAAAGTAATTAATATTGATAAATATGGTACAATGAAAATTTATCAAAGAAGTGAAGATTCAACATCAATTTATCCTCAACCCAAAACACCTTTATTTATGCAATTTTTACAATGGTATACTTATTGGCTAATTAAATGTGCTGCACAATCGGGAGAATTAACAACTGCTTTTATACATGTTGTTTTTCAAGAAAAATCTCCATATTCATTATTACAACCAAAATTCTTTCTTAAAATTCTTTATGCTTCTCTAACAAATTATTTTAATTTAACAAAATTTTTCGACTAATTTTTGTTTTCTTTGTTAATAAAAACAAACATTTGAATAGAGTGATATTTAACCTACACATTCTATATGATGTTAAGATCTGACTGATGAAACACGTCATAATAACCGCATGTTGACATATGATTTGAAAAGATTTCTTATCAAAAATAAACAAACTTACTTGAAATATTTGTACCAAAAGAATCATACGATATGGTGTGATCTTCGTCTGTTTAAAACAAAAGTGAACTTTCACGCGGACTTTTTTTTTTAATTTTATTATTTATTTATATCAACTTTACCTTATCTTTTATCTTTAGAAATTCATAGAACATAAGAAGTACATAAGTAAATGTTCAGAGAAAAATTGAAGAGATTATAAACATGAGTTGTTAACAAAATCAACCATTAAAGCACTTTACACAGATCATTATAAGAATATACTCATCGAAATTATTAAACAATTATACTCTAAAATGTGTCCTTCAACATGCTCGAATACTCAACAGTTACGAGCTTTTTTCATAATTTATGATTATTCTAATCGTTAGAAAATTGGCATACTTGAAAATAGGTTATCTAATATATATAAAGAGAACTTTTTTTTAAATATTTACAATATTTTCTATAAGAACAGTGATCAAACACATAACAAATATATAGTGAAAAAAATCACTGATCTATATATATGTTGTGATCACAATTAGAACTCAGCCCATTTCTAAATTCGTCCAGATAAAACTAAAATTCCAATATTGATCAAACAAAATTCAAATATTTTGTTGATGAATGGAGAACATGAAAAAATACAAACAATTTGAGTATGAGAAAGTGGAGATGATAATGAGAGGGACGCTAGAGTAACGAGAATGTCGAATAATTGTAAAAGACGATTTAGATGACAGGAACATGAAGAACCGGATAAGACCAGATTATCAATAATATTCCTACGCTCAATTTTCTTTCGCTTCAGACAATCCCATACTCTAATCGTTGATCTTTCTTCAACTTATTTTGTTCATCAAAATAATATTTCAGTTTCATCTTATTAAAATTGAAATTCTGACTTTTTTTAAAATGATTTTGGACGATATTAAAATTTCAAGTTTGCCTAGAAGAAATCAGCTCAAGAAAAAAGTCACGAAATAAAACAATTCTATGATTCGATCTTTTGTTTTATCTATCTATCTGACTAAATTGAGTATTTTTGAGAAGTAAACATTTGAAAAGGTATGATGGATAAAAAAAATGCCAAACTTCAGATAAAGCTGACCGAATTCAGTTTGAATCCAGGTGTACAATCATTAGATTAATTCTGTCTGATTCGGGTATTATAAAACATTGTTAAGTCAAAATGCGCTGCATGAATTTGTACTTGTACTGAATGCTACCATAAAAGTGTGTTATTTCTAAACACTAAAACTGAAAAAAGTTAATTTGAATGTAAATTTATTAATAGAATAATTTTTTTGTAAGATTGGTTTACTCCTACGTTATAATAAGAATATTTTTACATACTATTCAAATGATTATTATAAATTATAAAAAATTTCGTTTTAGAAATCAAAAGAGAAAAATATAGCTTGAAGTTTTTCTTTTCTGCTATCTTTGTTTTGTGACTCTTGAACAATTTTTAATATTAAAATTTTGTATTTTGCATAGAGTCAATGATATAGTTACTAAATTTTTCACTCTCAATGTTAAACTCATTTTTCGATGAAGTTAAAACCATTTTCTGCTTTAATCACCATATAAACTTCAATAATACTTGTATCATTAATGCCTTTATCAATGTTAGATCGTTGATTAACATAAAAAACGATGTCATACTGATGGCATTGGCAATATAAATATACAAGAACACGAGGAAATATTTCAAAATGCTTTCGTGTTGTGAAAAAGCATTCGAAACCAATGAAAATATTCTTTCTTCTAATGATTCTACTGTTGTTACTTTTTACAATAACCTCGATAATGTGTCTTTGAACCAGGGACAATGAAACGAATAAGAAAATCTCAATTCGATTCGATTCATACCACAAAAGTTTTACTTAAGTTTTAATATATCTATATGTTAAATCTATTGTTTTAGAGAAATTGATAATCTCTAAAGCGAAGCTACAGTACATATTAGGACTTGGCTTTATGAAAAGAAATGTTGTTTTTCTTATCGATTTATGAAGGAAATAGTTTTTGAATTAACATAATTAACGGTGCAATAGGTGGCATTATCTACTTGGAGAAAGATGCACATATTAACAACAGGAGTATAGTAGCTTTTTATTTCAGTCGAATTCTATTTCAATTTCCTGATCGGTACTTCAGACAGTAATCTCTAAACTTGCTTGGATTAATTCCATAGCTTTGAAATTAGAAAATCATGATATTTGGCTTTTGAGTAAAGTTTTTCAAAGCCAGTTGTCCTGTCAATTAGTGAATCAAATATACGAGAGAGTGATAAATCATCAAATTTACAATTACTGATAACGGTACTGTTGATCATGTAATCGAAGAAGCAAATACTCGCGATATCATCAATATAACTCTATCCATGGGCGACTAAACGAATGCAAAACATCGGCAACTGCAGATACTGTAGTAAACCTAGAAAGCCCTAATATGTATGAGGTAAGATAAGTAGTCACGAAAGAAGCTACACATGAATCTGATTCCTCGAAAAATATCTATCTTAAAATAAATCAATAGAAGCTAATTTTTTCAATAAAATACAAGCAGTAGTTGAACTTGTAGACCTCTGATGCGCAAAGAGATTGATACAATTTACAACAGCACAAGATATAGAGAACATGAGACTATCTTGATATGAGATTTATTGTTTGCGTTTTAGACTTGCTCAAGGAATTACTCCTGAATCGAATAACGAGAGTTCAATTTCGACTCGGTTTCAGTCTCTGAACATGATTTGTTAATCTATAAAGTTCAGCAATTAGAGGTTAAATTGTATCGATGTTTGATTGGCGAGGAATGCAATTCACAAGAACAGAATATGATTTCAGGATTCGACGAGACAAAATAAATTGAAATGATAAATTACAAATTAAATTTGATGACGAATTTTTCTCGAAGAGCATTTAATAAGTCGGATAAGTCATTGGAAAATAGTAAAAAGTACATTTTTCGATTAAATATATTTGGAATAGAATGTTGTGCCTACATTTAATCTATTATTGTATTTAACAAGATCATGTAACACTTGCATTTCTGCTGATTTCTGTTTACCTTCAGATACTATTTTGAATGATGGTAAATTTGATTTCTTATTTCTTTCTCTAATGTTGTCGTTCGATAAAACATCTATCGGGTATTGTGGATACATTCTTCGTAGTCGTTGAAGGTTCTTTGGATTATATAGTGGTTTAAGCTCAGTTTCAGTTTTTTTTTAAATGTAAAGTATAAACGAAGTCTTCCAGTTCCTATGTCTTGATGATTGACATGTTGTGATGAAGCATTGATTGTTGATGACATTTACTTTTACTTTTTAAACTCTGTTTAATATTTTAGCATTGACTAATTTCCAGTCTTCATCTATTTCTTTTCCGTCTGACTTTATTTGCATACTTGTCTGAATTTTCGAGCTTTTTTATTTGACTGAAATTTTTCGGCTTCGTAAAGCGTTCATTGGTGGAAAAGAATGATAGAAACTTGTTCTCTGGCTTACCATCCATCACCTTTTAATAATGAATTCAATTGAAAGAACTTCTTAACTTTGTTAATAATCCCTCTGACTTGATAATAGAAGAAAATTAATTAAAAGAAAATACGTTAAAAAAATAGCGCAAAAAATGAACATACAAGTCGATCAGAAACATTGCTTTTAAGATCAATCATCTACAGTCATTTTTCGACATATTTTTATTTTCTATCATTTTCTATTTTCACTAATCAATCAAGTTTGTGTTTATTGATGTGAATCTCAGGAGCTGATTTTTATGTTTCATTATTTTTATATCGACTTGAAGTAAATGATACTTCGATAAAGGGTAAACATAAATAAACAAGTCAAACTTATACCAACAACATACTTCGGATCATTCGTATATCTATAAGAATATTTCTCCTGATTCTTACACCAATTTATTTGATCTTAATGGATACAAGAAATTTTGATATATAATTGTCTTCATTTACAAAAAAACTGTTAGCGAAATCTCTACGCGATAGTAAAATGCGAAACATGATGTAGCTAGTCTGGTTAATCACAGGAAATTTCTTTAATTTCATCTATTTTGACACAGATTTTTTCACCATCCTTTTAATTAATCCTCAACAAATACAATAAGGAAAGTTAATTCATATATTATAAAGATATATTACTAATATACGATCTGGGACATGGCAGAAAGTAATATTACTAAGATGTCTGTTACAGTTAATGATAGTGTTTGACTTGAGTCATAAGAGATGAAGGTCTTCATTTTTATTCCTATACTTGAATACTTCTTTTGGATCGTGTTTCATAGTATCTCAACATCAATGACAAATAATAACATTAAAATCCAAACTAAACAAAGACAATCTAGTTGAACTCGAACATCTCAATGACTAGCACAATAATTACTGTTCCCTCCGTTATTGCTACATTAATTTATTGAACAAGACTGGTAAGAAAAATATTAATTGTGATCATAATAATATTATTTCAATTAAAAATTTATTTAGATATTTTCTTTTATTTGAATTCACAAAATAATATTTAGAAAATTGAATAAAAAAAGACTTTTAATCTTTATTGCTTTTAATTCATTGTGACTACATGTATTTCTCTTTGTTAGTTTCCAAGAATTTTTTATATTCAAGTTCATTTTCCGACATTGAACTAACCACGTTAGTATCAAGTTTTTCAATATTATCGAAAGATTTCTTTTCTAATGAAGTTTCTGTTGATTGTTTTTCATCTAATTTTTCTTTGATCAATTTATATACATTGATAATATCATTATCGTCCATTGTAATACCTATTTTAGGCCATTGATTTGTATCTAAAATAATATAATATTCTCGCCAATGACGACGAAAATCTGAATGCCACCAAACAGATGACAGTGCCATTCCCCACATTTTACATTTGAATATACTCAAATTACTCATTCGAAGTAATTCACATGATTTAATATCGCTATATTTAATTGTTTTATTTCCATAGGGAAAATAATACCAATGGATAATCAGATGATCTGAATAACATGTAACGAAACCATTCGAGATAATGGGCTGTTTAGAGATAATTGTCGACTTCATCGTTTATATTATCTTAATGCCATAAAGTAATAAGAAACAAATGTATAGGTTCGAGAATAAGAAGAGTTTTTTTTCTATCAAGAAAAAGCTTAACGAAGACAAACGTTAATCAATCTTTCTTCATTATAAATATTTACTTCATGAGTCATATCATACGACTCATCTGACATACAATATATATTGCGTTGTTCTTGTTTCACCAATTATAAGCCAACAATAATAATCATTATATTTGTGTCATTGAAACTTTTCTACTTTAATGCATAGTCATTAGTCATAATACAGGAATATACGAAGGTTCAAATTCAGAAATCAAAGAAGCATTATTTAATACTGGAAAGAGTACTAACAATAACCGTTGGAAGTGAGGTCACTAGACTCCAAGTCTTCATCTATCTAGAGATGCCGATGCTATATGTACCTCAAATGAAATGTCGAAAAAAATTATTGACTTATCACGAAAAACATGTGAATATGTGTTGATAAATACCCTCATTAATCCATATTCGAAATCGCTGAAAAGATATTAAATTGACAATACACTCATAAAGCATCTAGCTTTTTTTTCTGTAGAATTCAGTATCCAAAAAGATTGATAATGTGCTATGCTGTTTTATGTTGCAATATAGTGTTTTAAAAACTGCATAGGATTACAAATGTTTTCCAAAGCTACTGAATGAGTCAGTTTTTACTAAAATTTACTGTTATTGTTGTTCAATTTACTCAAAAATACTTCGTTATGGAATTTCATCACATAAAAAACTAGTTATCTTGTTATTTTTTCACTTATTTCAATATTTTCACTAAACTGCTTTATATTTTTTACGTAAGCTCAAGGTTAACATTCAATGTATCACTCCTAGATCACTCACTATACATAGTTAATTTCTGTTCTTGTTGTTCTTTTAATCACTCACTATCGTCCGTTACTACGCATCAAGTAATAATACTATGAGATACAGTGAAAAACCAAGGTATGTCTTTTTATATTTTGAAATTTCATAATCTTTTTATTATTTCAGCAGAAAATAAGATCAATATCTGTACAAAAGTACGAATTTGCATTATAAAAGAGGCTGAAAAGTTTTAAAGATAAGTTATATTGTTTCTCGCATGGGACAATGTGTTTCTATTTTTAATATCTGCCATTAATAATATTGAGCGTTCAAATAATTCAAAAATCACCGTCAAGTCATCAGTTTTCCATATATTTTGCTTGTATTGCTTCCAATTTGTCTGGTTCGATAGTTCAGCATTGAAAATGATCCCATATTTATAGACTGGAATAAGTTATATTAGATTTATTTTGTAGCTCATTCTCAAGTGTATGTATTTGAAAGAGCAATTATTCACTTTCGAAGAAGTACAAGGTACAGCACGGGCATTGCTTAAGAGTTTATTTGGGAAATTTTGAGTCGAAATACACCAAAAGTACCTTCTTAGGTTATCTATCCATATTATATGAGTTTAGCTGGTAAATATGTGAAACCGTTTTCTATTAATGAAGATACTTTGTGAATATTCCTATTTATGTTCAACTTGAAAGATGAATTCCATGATCAAATGTCTGCATAGTTAAGATTCAGGTGTTAACCTAGATATACACACAGAGCATCTCTTGATAATAACGCGATGAAAGAACGGACATGAGCTCATATCAAGACACCTGTTGAGATGTTCAATAATTGTTTTAGTTGAATAATAGTTGTCAACAATATAATCATCAGGATAGTTGTGAGGCTCGTCAGGACCAAGATTGGCACCACAAGAAACTATAGAATCATTTGTGAAGAATTCAATATATTCGGAAATTGCTTGTTGACTTTACTAAATAGATTTCGAAAATGTTGATAGTATTAAGTTTCATAATTGAAAAAGAAAAATTAAAACAAAGTTGTTATACAAGAATGTCTAATTATATAACAAAGATTTGAAGCTTCTCATATATTTTTACAAAAGTTTAAATTTTTACAAGACCTTGACAAATTGAACAATTAAGTTTTTAATATGATTCCTGTGGTAATGTTATGTATTTATAAGGTAAACATAGTTATTTATGTTCTTCCGTCGTCATAGCACACACTTATTTTTAGTTATCCATTGTTTCTAGAAGTTATTGCTTTATGAACTTATACATTTCCGTCATGAAATGTCTAAAATGTGAATTCCAAGCCTTATCTTAATGACAGTCCATATTGTACACCTGTATATATTCAAAAGCTTACCGTGGTGTTATATCGACACTTGAATGTTTACTTATTCGCTTTTTAACAGATGAAGAAATTGCTCTGGTCTTATTGCCACTCATATCATCTATTGATAAATCATGCGTTTTCTTAAGTAAAGAAGAATTAATGAACGAATTCTCTCACCTGATTATATCTCAAACAATGTATGCACTCCGCTCATGTACAAGTCATCATGAAGAAATGAACTCACATCCATCACGTTTAATTGCTTCAGCATTATTGGTAAGACCACCGCCCGTTAATTCTTGTACACATACCGTTTATAATTTGCATCCAATACCAGTTGTCGTTAATAGAAAAAAATATATTTATACTAGTATGCCAACAACGTTCGGTCTTAATCTAATAGATCAAGCTTTAACCAAATGAAATGACAGGCAAAAATCTAAATGCGCTTTCTCGAAAGTTATACAACGTCAAGAAGAACCCACATTGGTGTCTCTTTCGAGTTTGTCTTGTATGGAACAGCTTTTTCTATTGGCTCTTCCACTTCGAATGATTGTGAAATAAGTCGATCAATGAATTCTCAACCAGCTACCGTCAATATAGTGCAATATATATTGGCCTTCTATAACCTTAATGAAGTTAAGCACTGCAAAGTTATTTTGCATTTTAATAATTCAATTGATATCATAAAGATTAGTGAACCGTCCAATTTACGATTACCATGTGGAGCATCTGTCAGATGTTCAAATATTCAATTGAGATCATCAGAATGTACACTCAGCACGCTATTGATCACGTTCAAACATCATGGGACTTACAAAAAAATGCTAAATATTCAAAACTCAATAAAAGCATTGACAAGTCGCTTAGGAGCTGAATACAAATCAAGAGCTACACTGAAAAAAAAAGGTTCCACACGGCACTTATTTTGCAACGAAATCTAAACCTTCTTAGAGGTTTCGTATGAACCTAAGATGCTTTCAAAAGACTTATAAAGAGTCCAGGATACTTTTTTTAAGGTTTCGTTGAAAATCTGCGAAACTTTCAAAAAGGTTTCGATTTCGTTGCAAATCTCGAAACTTTTTTTAAGTTCCGTAGTATGTACGAAACTATTTTTAAGTTCCGTAGCACGTACGAAACCATTTTTGGCACTTTTGGATTCCGTATGGAACCTTTTTTTTTCAGTGTATAGATTCTCTTAAACAACTACAATTTGATGTTTACGACAGCACTCCTGTAATAATGAAAATATTACAAATACTCGGCAATTTATTAATATATTTTTTGTTGCTTCTTGTATCTACTATTATCTTAGTTATATTGAGATTCGTTCACATTAAAATGCAAAAGAGAAGGAACAAAGCTGAAAAAGAAATGAACAAAGTTGTAGATGTATTTTTCTTAGATATTACACTGCATGATATACTGTAAAATATTTGGACCTTGTTTTATTGTAAAACTCACATTGTTTTTTGTATTTTTTGCTGTACAGTTTCCTTCATAATACAAGCAAAGACCATCACGTGTAAAATAGTGAATATCTTGATTCAGCATGATCGTGTTATATCATGCATAATCACCCGTCAGTTGTATGTGTTTCTTCTCCTCTTACCTTCTTTTTGTGTACTTTTTTATATTTCCGTCTATAGCACTTCTCGTGTTCTTCTCATGATTCAATGTCAAGAAGTATAAAAATCAGCCGTTGTCGTTTATCACTTTTGCGCGTTCTTCTAAATATGTTATGATATTCTTTCTCTCACAAAATTGTATGTATTGTCTGTTTGCCACCTCTATTTTCTTTCCTTTCTAATATATGTGTTTTCCCACCTTGTTATACAACATTGTTTTTCTATCACTTGGTTCAATGCTTCTCTCTTAGCTGTTTTTCTTAGCACTCTTCGATATTACTTTATCCTAGACATTAGTCATCAATCAGTAGATACTACCAAAATAAACAAAATACGTAATCCTGAAAGCGTCACTCTCACGTTCATGTTGCTATACATCCGTTGCAAAAGACTTAACGCTTCTGCCTATACAGTCTCGCCTACTTACCATTGTTCCTCTCAGGAACTCTACGCATAAAATTTCATGAGAAAAGTTAACCGTTAAAACAAGTCTCGAAACCAGTACTTGGGGTGCAACCCTCCGATTTCGCCCAATGACTACCCTTGAAATTGATACTATTCCATACACAATTAAATTCTGCATACAACACACTTGATTAGAAAGCTAAAACAATTCGTCAACAGAATCCGCAAAAGGTTTACACCCCAAATAGGTTCATTGACCTAGTATTTGTGATAAAATCTCCTCTTTTGCCTGATAACATCACCTGAAAACCGCACCATTCGATAGAGAATTAAATTCTGCACCCAACACACTCACTTAGACAGTTAACACAACTACTGTTGCGAATCCGAACAACGACTATACCCGAGATCTGGTCGTAGACCAGGTATCTTGGGGCATAACCCTCCGTTTGACTCAATAACACCACTTGGAAATGGTACCATCGGATAGAGAATTAAATTCTGCATCTGACACTCTTAATGAGAAAGTCAACGAAAGTCATGAAGCGAATCCGGACAAGAAATACAGGATATTTGTTAGTGTTACACAGGGAAAATCCTAGTATTTTTGAAAAATGCGGTGGTTTTTTGCCCGACGATTCCCTGTAAAACTAGTGCCATTGGATAGAGCATAAAATTCTGCACCTAACACAAGTGCTGAGAGAGAGTTAACACAGGTGATAAAGCTGGTAGCGCAGTCCCTTGCGGGATTAAAAATGTGAAACACGATGAATCTATTGTTACTAGTTAAATGGAAATCGTTTTGTTCCATTTCTTTGCGATACATTCGTAGCTAACCGCTTACCTGGTGCTTTAGAACTACAGTTTCTCTGTTACGGTCTGTGGGGCGGGGGGGGGGGAGATGCATATGTCCAAGTCGAGGCCCTTCCACCATTCTGTCAGAACCTGGT